AAACACATTTAATCAATTACCCACATTTAGTAATCAATTAAACACATTTAATCGCTGTGAGGTCAAGATATCATCGAGGCGGGAAAAGATCCAAAATCGACATTTTGGAACAGCAATCCCACACTTGAACAAAGAATTTTCTTAAGTACTATTTTTTGTTTGGAAAGTTATAATCGCCATGTCGGAATGACTTTGACTACTAATTGTTTGGAAAAGTTATAATCGCTCAAAGACTAATTTCTAACTGTCTTAGACTAATATCCGACTACACAGCCAACATATCCACACATCTCATACTAATATCCTCCAATCACATAATAATATCTTATCACCACAGACAAAAATCGAACCACCATACATTGTGTTCAAAACCATTTCCACATTATCGTCTTCTAAACCTGAAACCAAAACTCGAACCCTGTACCTGAAACCCTAACCCTAAACACTAACACAAAGCTTGAACCCTAAACTCTAAACCTCAACCCCAAACCCTAAACCCTAAACCCCAACCCCCTAAACCCCAAATGCGAATCCTAACCCCTAAACTCCAAACTCTAAACTGTAAACCCTAATTCTAAATCCTAAACCCTTACACCAAACCCTAAATTGATATAAGCATATACAACAAAGATCCAAACCACCCAGACTATTATCGGATCGTATCAGACTAATACCTACCACACACAGATTAATATCTTACCACCGAAAACTAATACCCACTACATATAGATTCATATCTGAACATCACAAACTAATACCAATTACACATAAACTCTAAACCTTAATCGCTAATTAAACTAAATTTCAATACAAACATAGGTAAACATTCACACAAAACAAATCCAAACCACCCAAAATAATATCCGTTCACCATAACAAATATCCACAACACCCGGACTAATATCCCATCGCCTAAGACTAATATACATTCAGATCGTAAATAATATCCTAACTATAAAGACTAATACCCACCACACACAGACTAATATCTGACCATCGCATATTAATACCCGCCACACATAGATTAATATCTGACAATCGCAAACTAATACCAAAAGTAATTAAATTGGCTAATGAACTAATATCAACAGACTAATATCAGTTAATGAGAAAACAAATATCCAAACATCCCAGACAAATAGTTGAAAACATGAACTAATATCAATTCAAACCAAAGCTAATATCAGAACCACCTAAGAAAGAAGATAATCGAGAATTTGCACAAGCAAGACAACATTTGAACTATTCCTTTTCTATTTTTTTATGTAGTTATACTTTTTTAGATTTTAGATTATGGGATTGCCAAGTTGGAATGACAATAAATACTAGTTGTATCGCAGTTTATCGAAAAACGACTTTGTTTTATTATGAATTTGCTTAAACTAAATATCAACACAAACAAACATAGATAAACATCCACAAAAAAAAAACAAATGCAAACCACCCAGAATAATATCCGTTCACCATAAACAAAATCCAGAACACCCAGACTAATATCCCACCGCCTAATACCAATATCGAGTCAGCCCGTAATCAATATCTTCACCATACAGACTAATACCCACCACACACAGATTAATATATGGATGTCTTAGCCTAATATCCGGCTACACAGCAAAAATATCAACACATCATGAACTAATATCCTCCAATCACATAATAATATCTTATCACCACACACTAAAATTGATCACCCTACATTGTGTTCAAAATCATTTCCACAATATTGTCTTCTAAACCCGAAACCAAAACTCAAACCCTATACCTGAAACCCTAATCGTAGACACTAAACACAAAGCTTGAACCCTGAACCCTTAACTCTAAACCTCAACCCCAAAGTCAAATCCTAAATCATAAACTCCAAACCCTAATTCTAAACCCTAAAGTCAAAACCCTAACACTAAACCCTAAATTGATGTAATCATATACAAATCAGTAGATAAACATCCACACAGAACAAATATCCAAACTACCCAGACTATTATCTCACCTAAGCAAACTAATACCCACCATACACATATTAATATCTGTCCATCACATACTAATACCCACCACACACAGATTAATATCTGACCATCGCAGACTAATACCAACTACACATAAACTCTAAACCCTAATCGCTAAACACTAAATCCTTAACCCTAAATCCTAACCGCTAAACCGTAAATTGGTGTAATATGGTTGGCTAAGTGTGTGATGCTAGATGCTAAAATAAACAAAGGATCACATCTGAATAGTTACCAGAAGTGCCCCAATATCCGTACTACATAAAAAAAATTCCACATCACCCAGACTAATATTCATTCCTACCATAAAAAATATCTGCAACACCCAGACTAATATTCGTTTTGCGCATAATAAATATCCTCACCAACCCTAACTAATATCCATCGGTTACAAACAAATATCCTGCTACACAGCCAAAATATCCACACATCGCCAACTAATATCCTCCGATCACATAATAATATTTTATCACCACAGACAAAAATCGACTACCCTACATTGTGTTCAAAACCATTTTCACAATATTGCCTTCTAAACCCGAAACCCTAATCGCTAAAAACTAAATCTTTAACCCTATTAGAATATCCAAAAGTCCAAGAAAATTTCGAAAACATGAACTAATATCAACTCAAACCTAAGCTATACCCTAAACCCTTAACATAAAACCGTAACACAAACTCTAAACCATAAAACTATTATTATTTAATGGGCCTTCGGCCCATGGGCCCTCGGCGGGCAGCCCTAACTAAGGTTGCAAGCCTTACGTGTTAGGACTTCCTAGTGTGTTTAATTTCCTAGTGTGTTTAATTTGATGTAAGAAACAATATTCCAATCCTTCACAATGATTCAAAGTAATATCAACATAACACATAATAATATCCACTGAAAACAAATAAATATCCAAACAAACATACATATATATCACATGGGGCCCAAAAATTTCATTCTCTTTCCACTCCAACCCAAAACTGGCGCCCAAACTGAAGCCGGGCACCACGCTTTCCACTCCAAACCAAAATCCCGCCCAAACTGATCCCTGGCCCACCAGCCACGAACTCGGCTCGCCTTCTGCGCCGGCTTCTACACGGAAGCCCATCTCCAGCTCATTTAAGTGAGCCACCACTCTCCTCCATTGGATGAAGCCCAAGCACACGTGACCCAAAATCTGACCCTATCAGTATCTCCTAACATAATGGCCTGTTAGGAGACTAACTTTTTCGGCTCCCCTCACCTTCGTCCCTCTGAAGTCTGAACAACACATCGCGCCCGACCGCAACGAAACTGAGCTTCGCTCAACATCACCGAGAAATAGTATGGGAACGGGAGCCCCAAATCGACCTCGTCCATGTGGATGTGGCGGAGCTGCTCGGCGGCCTCGGATCGAACCCTTTGGAGAAGAAGACGAGGAGTGGAGCGAGGTCGAAGGAGGTGCTAGGTTGGAGTTTGCGGTGGGGTGGGATTTCTAGATTTGGGTCACGGGTTGGTCACAGGTTGGGTAGGGGTATTAGGTAAATGACGTGGCCGGTCAAGTTTAAAATTTTCCATGTTAAAATTGGCTGATTAGGCCATTCTGTTAGCCACGTCAGCAAAAAATTGACGGCATTAACGGAGGTTGACGAAGACTAACGTAGAGTGACCAAAAGTGGATTGTTTAATTAATTTTAGTGACTATAAACGAATAAAAAAAATTTAGTGACCAAACATAAACTTTTTTGGTAATTCCAATGACCAAACTTGCAATTCACCCCTTATAAATACAATATTTTTTACCAAATAATAAAGATTTTTTCTTTAATATATTTGAGTGTGTGTGAGGGATGGGGTAAGATTACAAGTTCTAAAAAAATGAAATAGTAACTTGGTAAAAAGTACAACTTGCTTTTTATATATAATAATAATAATTATTAGCCATTGTTCATCACACTTGATGATGATGATGATAATGATGATAATAATAATAATAATAATAATAATAATAATAATAATTATTATTATTATTATTATTATTATTATTATTAATAAGTGTGATGAACAATGGCTAATATTTTGATTTTTGACACAACTTTTTTTTGTTCCCCACCACCAAATCTTTTTTTCTCAATAATTGTTATCTTCCTATTTTTGTTCTTATTCCACTACCTGACTTTATTTCACAACTGAAGCAAAGTCTAGGCTGCGCAGGTCTTTAGTGATTAGTGCCGCAACACGTTGAAGAAAGATAATGGTAAGAACTAAGAAGGCAAGCTATGAGGAAAAAGATGGTGCCCATTTTGTTCATCTTCCCGTGCTTTCCAGTCAATAATGCTACACCCTGCAGTTGCGTGTGGGAAAGCAACAAACCGCTTTACCTGTGAAAAGGCCACAGCAGGGCAGCTGATAGATTCCTAGACCACCTTAAAACAAATACAAGTGGATAATAACATCCATATAACTATGTTCCATTCCTTCACAGATCACTCTAAAACAGAGAAAAGCAGAGGCATGGCTGGCTGGCTAGGAAAGATGAACCAAAATTAAGCAAAGGCTGCTCAAGTGAAAACCACCACTTCGCCGCCAAGTCAGTCAGTCTACCACCGACGGGTTTGTCAACCACTTTCTCAGCAACGAGAATCACATTCAGAAGAAATTACTTGTTTATTACAGAGTTGAAAATGAAAACAGATCTCTCTGTCTTTCCCTTTTCATTCCCTCCCATGCTCCTCCTCCTGGCAGTGCCCATTCTCCAACCAACTCCCATAAAAGAACAGATAATAAAGAAGAAAGAAAGACGAAAGCTCTCTGCTTTTCTCCATTATTAAAGCACCCACGATGCCAAACAACAGTTACAAACGACAAACCCCCCGATTAAGCTAAGCAAGCTCAGACCCACACACTTATGAAGACCGGAATCCGAGGAGGAAAGCAAAGCTTCAGCAGCTTAACAGCAACAAGCTTTATTGTTAACTGTTAGCCGCTGCTACCCTTCCCTTGCCTTCCTTTCCTCCTTTCCCAATATGGCTGCTGCAGCTGCCGCCAGTGGCTCAGTTTTTTCCTTCACTTTCCTTTTTCTATTATCCAGTCTTGCCTTCACCATCTCCACCCAGCAATCAGACAGATTCATCTTCCACGGCTTCGGCAATGGAACCAAAAACCAGCAGCAGTTGCTCAGGCTCGACGGAGCTGGAGAGGTACTACCCAACGGCCTTCTCCGCCTCACCAACGCCTCCGCCCTTCAAATTGGCCACGCTTTCTTCCCTCGCCCTCTCAATTTCATCCGCGGGAAATCATCTCTATCCTTCTCCACCAACTTCGTCTTCGCCATGGTCCCGCAATCCCCAAATCTCGGCGGCCACGGCCTGGCTTTTTTACTCTCCCCGGCCGTGGATTTCTCACACGCCGTCGCCAGCCAGCACTTGGGGCTCTTCAACGCCACGACCGACGGCGCCTCCACCAACCACGTTGTGGCGATCGAGCTGGACGCAATGCGCAGCCCCGAGTTTCAGGACATCGACAATAACCACGTTGGGGTTGACGTCAACAGCCTGATTTCAATTGATGCCGCCCCTGCTTCTTATCTATCTCCAGACGGGAAGAATTTGACCTTGCAGCTGCTGAGCGGGAGGCCAATTCAGGTTTGGATTGATTATAATGATACCCAGAAGCTGATTAATGTGACATTGGCTCCCATGGACGGTCCGCGTCCAGAAAGGCCTCTGCTTTCTACCTCTGTGAATCTCACTGATGTTTTGCTGGACTCTATGTATGTGGGTTTCTCTGCTGCAACTAGCACTGTGACCAGTGAGCATTACATCCTTGGGTGGAGCTTCAGCCAGACAGGGAGGGCGGAACAGCTCGACATTTCGAAGCTTCCTAAGCTTCCTCCAGTGAGAAAGGAGAGGAAGAAGGTTGAGTGGATTAGCATAGTTTTCCCTATATTGGCTGCCTTTGTGTTGGTAGGGATTGGAGGGTTTGTGGTTTGCTTGATAAGGAGGAAGAAGTACGAGGAGATATGTGAGGATTGGGAGAAGGAGTATCATCCTCAGAGATTCACTTACAAGAATCTCTATTTGGCAACCCACGGTTTCAAAGAGAAGCAGTTTCTTGGAGTTGGAGGATTTGGGAAGGTTTACAAGGGAGTTCTTCCTAAATCAGAAACCGCCATAGCCGTGAAGAGGGTCTCCCATGATTCCAGGCAAGGGATGAAGGAGTTCGTGGCCGAGATCGTCAGCATAGGAAGGTTGAGGCACAGGAACTTGGTGCAGCTGCTGGGCTACTGCAGAAGAAAGGGCGAACTGCTCCTGGTCTATGACTATATGCCTAATGGAAGCCTTGATCATTTTTTGTTCAAAGATGATGAAAAGAAGCCAACCTTGAATTGGCCCCAGAGGCAGCGGATCATCAGAGGAGTAGCTTCTGCACTTCTGTATCTCCACGAGGAGTGGGAACAAGTTGTGATTCACAGGGACATAAAAGCTAGCAATGTGCTTCTAGATGCCGATTTCAATGGAAGGCTGGGAGATTTTGGCCTGGCTAGATTGCATGATCATGGCACAAACTCTCACACCACGCAAGTAGCAGGCACTGTGGGTTACTTAGCTCCAGAGCTAACTAGACTTGGGAAGGCAACCACAGGCACAGATGTGTTCGCCTTCGGGGTGTTCATGTTGGAGGTGGCCTGTGGACGTCGGCCTGTAGAGGTTGAAACAGCGGCTGAGGAGGTGATTTTGGTAGACTGGGTTGTAAGGTGCTGGCAACAAGGCAACATTTTTAAAGCTGTAGATTCCAGATTGCAGGACGCCTACGACAGGGAAGAAATGGAGCTTGTTCTGAAATTAGGGCTGTTGTGTTCACATCCTGTGGCAGCATTAAGGCCGAGCTTGAGGAAAGTGATGCAGTACCTGGATGGGGACACGACATTGCCTGAGATATCACTGGAAAGTGCAGGAGTAGGCAACTTTGGGAGCTACAGTGAGAGATCTGATCTTTACTTCTCCAACTTTGGGAGCTACAGTAGGGCTTCCATAAATTCCTTCTGCAGCCAGGATTCAATCATCACAACAGGTCGTTAGTGTGCCATTACTGGCATGAGTTCAGATATGTATAGTCTTTGGTGGTCAGGGTTCTGTAATGTTTCTTTTCTTTTCTTTTCTTTTCTTTTCTTGACTGGTGGTGTTAGTAATGGTTTTTTTCTTCTTCTTTCGAGTTTTGTAATGTTCCCTCTGTAACTAGGAAACAGAAAGAGCAACACTTCTTCGACAACAGATCATCTGTTGAATTGACTAGATAGAATTACAAGTGTTTGTTTTACATTCAATACACAAACCATATCTATACAACAACACAAGCCACTGATTGGTGGCTGACATGTATGGTCTCTGCTGGAAGCTTGGTGTTATCAGAACAGCATGGCTAGGAGTTTAACTGATTGAAAGAAACACATGTTTTCCTGTTTGTATGAGGATTCTCTGAGAAAGTTGAGCTGAAGCTTAGTACCAGAGCTTTTAAGGTGATCATCGGCCTCCGATTGAAACCGTTGTAGGCTAGCGGCTCCAAGTTGTTGCGCAACTGTAAGCCTCTCACAGCAGCTCTGCAGTTTATCCTCAACGTGACGACAACCAGCCAGTGGAAGACTGATGAAGGAAGGACCAACGGCGTGTTGTGCAGAAGCAGTAGCAGTACGCAGCAGGAACAACATCTATCTGTTGCAGCAGCAGCAGAACTATCTCCTGCCTGCTCATTTTCTGTTTCATTTCCTTATTTCGGATTCTGGTATGCTCTCATAGATATATTGAAAAGACCTAGCCAGACAGGTTCCTTGCTCCAACTCCACAGAAATTGTTCATTGTATTTCAGATTCCTTATTAATTAACAAACACTTTTAAAAATTAATACCTGCCCCCTCTCGTCCAAGCCAGACAGTTGGAACTACAAAATACAACCTAGACTTGAAAATAGGAGGAGGGAGTTAGGAATATGGGTGCTCTTCCGTCTGATGGAATTCCCTTTTTATGCCCAGCTGTATAAAGCTAAAACAAGAGTTTGTCAGGCTTTGAGCTAGACTCTATCACATGTAGCATGTAGGTGTAAGAAAGTGTTTAAATATACATCTCACAACAATTTGAGTTATTAAAAATAGTTGGTTTATGATATTTGTGTTAGGTTTGATTTTGAGGTCATGTGTTCAAATGACCCCAATATTCTGTGCAAATTTCAAGCCCATGAATCTGCTTTGGTTTGAGGAGGCGTTTAAAAAAGTGGTTAAGTTAAGTACCTTCCATGGACCTCCCTCAACAACTCGAGTAATTGGGACCAATTGGTTTATGACAGTAGACAATATACTCATGAGACTCGACCTGTCTCGACTTGTTTAGAGCGGGTATTACTCGATCCATATAAGCGTGGGGCGGGGTATATGTATTGCTTTCGACCAGCCTTGTTCTCTAGCCGTTCTATTGATTTGCAATAATATCTACTTGTATTTCTCCTTTTTTATCTTTCTAAAATCACATTTTCATTGCAAAGAAATATTATACTCTATGGTTGAATTATTTACATTCAATTATTACTTCTACTGTATTTCTCATTCATTTATTAAGTATTTTACCTCTGTGTTCTTGTAAAAAAGTTAATGTTGAAGGAAGCTTGGTCAATGGCATCGAGAAATCAAGCAAAGCAAGAAGAGCAAGATATCTTGGATATTCTGGAACATCAAAAAAGGGAAGGTTCTGATGCTGTGATCAATCAAGGCAATCAAGGAATAACAATTGATTCACAGATTTGCAAGCAACGGTCGATTGAAGCAAACCATATAAAGTTGGGATTCTGGGTAGATAGTGATCATCTTTTTCGAGCACATTCTCAAGAAGAAAAACAGAGTGTTCTCGTGTAGTGTTTTGAGAAAGAAAAAGAACAGAGTTGTCAGGAAGAGAACTCAGGCTACAGAATTGGGGTATCAGGGTGAAGTGGTTGCAGGGAGCAAACTCTATAGTTAGATTTTGATCAAGTGACGGGGAGTCACACTGAGATCAACCTTTTGTACCTTGTAAATCGATCAACAATCATCATAGTGAAACGTCGAAGGACTCAAATCAGAGATCCTTCGACCGTGGACTAGTTGATACTGATTTATCAGTATCGGAAACCACGTAAAAATCGATTGGATCCTTGCATTGGTTCTTGTATTAGTAAGAATATTTTCACTCTCTGCTCGTGTTCCAGTCTCTGTTTTGCAGGTGATCAAGAACAAGAACACTGACCTGCAAGTGGAGAAGGATTGGTTTGCAGGCTTTGGGTCGGGATTATTAAGTTTGAGCCCAACAGATAAAACAAAAGCAACCTTGGGCTTAAAGCCCATCCAACGTTTATTTCGATTAAAGTCTATTAGTTATTTGAGAAAACAACAAGCTTTTACTTCGTCAATTCTCAATCGATCTATTACACTCAATCTGCATTTTTGTTTGTGCTGAGATTAGGGTTTGTGAATTTCACGAAGCAAAGGGGTTCCAAGTCTCGCGCTCGACTCAATCTACAGTTAAATGATCAATACTATCAATGTCAATTATATAGGAGGAGTAGCGGCCAAGTAAGGCCGATGAGGGTTATTATTAGGGTTTTCAGTTCTTTTCTTTTGTATTTTTTCAAAATTAATCAATGAAGAATGTTACAGAAACATATTTGGAAAATTCTATTCTCCTAATTCCTTGAAATCTCATATATCTCTCCTTAAAGGCTTCCGACCATTCTCCTTTGCGCAATTATGTTCTTCAATCGCTAATCTTCAAATTCTCAATCCAATTCCTAAAATTTATATTTCAATCCCTAATCCATATTCCAATCACGTTCCCAATTTCATAACCTAACTCGAGAACGCCCTAGATCCATGATTTCTAACATATCACTTGTTAGAAATTACAATGGATAGGTCGGAATCGGTACCTCGATACTTATACTCATTTCATGGCAGGTTGGGTCCAGGTCGGATATTTTACGTTGGGGTATTGGTCAAGATAGGTCGACTCTACGGTGTGCATTCTAAAGGAAGAAAAGAGGACACATGCCTGATCTACCTACAACACGTGTGTTACCCACCTAAAATAAGTTAGACAAGCCAAATAGAACGGATCGGGTCGAAATCGTCATCTCTATTACGAGTAATAAAATAAAAGGGTGATTGAAGGTGATTTTTAAGAGAAATTTTTTTTATAGTGTGATTTTTAAAAATGACATTCTATAAAAATACAGTCGAGTTAAACTAAACTTTCATAATTCAAACAACTATTTCGTGCCCAAGTCTTTAGTTAGTCATCCAATCCAATAGTCGGAAAGGGATGGAGTCTAGGCACAGGAACACATATCAAAGGATGAGCCCTCGGAAGGGTAAGCCCAACTCCTTCTTCCATATCGACATTACCCCCATCACTCCTCTTCGTCGATTCATGAACCTTCCACTCAAAACACTGAACCATGACAGCCAGGCTAGTGTGCACCATATGCAGAGCCAGCGTCGTCCCAGGACACCCTCTCCTCCCACTTCCAAACGGTAAAAACTCAAAATGCTGCCCCCTCACGTCCATCTGGCTCTTCCCCGCCCCATCGATGAACCGCTCGGGCTTGAACTCGAGCGGTTCGTCCCAATGGCTCGGGTCCCTGCCAAGGGCCCAGACGTTCACAAACAGTCTGGTCCTCGCCGGAATCTTATAGCCTTGAATCTCACAGTTCTCGCTCGACTCTCTCACAATCAGCGGCCCTGTCGGATGGAGCCGCAACGTCTCCTTCACTATGGCTTGGAGGTAAGGAAGGTTCGGAATGTCCGACTCCTTGACCAATCTGGATTTCCCCACCACCGTATCAATCTCTTCCCTTGCTCTGTTCAGGATCTCAGGGTGGTTTATCAGCTCCGCCAATGCCCACTCTGTAGTGATCGCTGACGTGTCCGTTCCCGCCGCAAATATATCCTGCGCGGGCTCAACAGTCAACAGATTGTAATTCATTGCATAAGAAACAAACTATTGTCTCAATTCTGATTTATAATTACTTACCAAGATGAAGGCTTTGATGTTTTCTCGAGTGAGTTTGATTTCAGAATCTTCATCTTCCTTTATGTCGAGCAAGACATCAAGAAGATCTTTCACCTCGTCATCCCCATTGATGTTCTTCTTCCTTGCCTCCACGTGCTCCTCAATGATCCTCTCCATCATCGAATCAAACCTGCTCCTCAAATCCTTCAGCCGCTTCCCAAACCCCTGCAGGTCCAATCTCTTGCAGAACCAAATGTAATCCGACAAGTTAAACTTCCCGGTAAGCTCCGCCGTCTCCTCCACCAGCTTCCTCACCTGATCCGCCTCCTCCGCCCCGCCGGAGCACCTCTCCCGCATCATCATCACAGAGATCACGTTGTTCGCCACCCGAATCAGCTCCCCTCCGACGTCCATCGCCTCCCCTGCCTCTGCTCTGTTCTTCGTCCCCTGCAGAAACCGCCCGATCTCTTCCCGCCGCAGCGGGAGCATCCGGTCCAGGATCCGGCCGCCGAGCAGCTCCGACATGCACAGCTTCTTCATGAACTTCCAGTAGGGTCCGTAGGGGGCGAAGGAGAAGTCGGCTGAGCCGTAGGTGAGGTAGTCAACGGCGGCGGGTATGGGGCGGTCGGAGAAGAGGGACTCGTAGGTTTTCAGGAATTCCCTGGCGGTCGCCGGCGATGAAGCGACGACGCAGGGGACTGAGCCGAGGGAGAGGCGGAAGAGCGGCCCATGACGGACGGCGAGCTTGTGGAGTGCTTGGTGAGGGATTGGAGCTAGGAGGTGGAGGTGGCCGATGATGGGTAGGGCGAAGGGGGCGGGCGGGAGTCGGTCCGGGTCGGGTCGGGTTTTGCCGAAGAGGTTTTTGAGGATGACAGTGATGCATAGCAGGGAGATTAAGCCGGCGTAGAACTGGAAACTTTCGTCGGCCATTGTTGTGAAATGGGGGAGGATGGATTTGAGTGAGAGCTTTGGGAGGGTGTTATAATGTACAGAAGCCGGCCGTGAAAGAATCAACTATTCGGTATGACGGAATCCTCCTTCCTTGATCAATCAATGAATGAGACTTATTTTATGCCCAATTGGTGAGCTAGTTTGTCGTCATTCATCTGCCTTCTGTGGAAAAGAACGAATTGCAGCGGCCGCCGGCCGGCATAATTTTCTTCTTGATTTCTTTTTAAATACAGAGATTCACATCAAGCAAATAGACGAAGACCTCCACGAACTGTACGGTGAAACTTGTGCTGTAACTATACTGCTCTTGGTCTATGACTAAATGCCTAATGGAAGCCTTGATCAGTTTTTGTACAAGGATGCTGAAAAGAAGCCTACTTTGAATTAGCCTCAGAGGCAGAGGATCATACGAGTAGCGGCATCTGCACTTCTGTATCTCCACTAGGAGCTAGAACAAGTTGTGATTTAAAGTGACATAAAATCTAGCAATCTCTTTTAGATGCCAATCGCAATGGAAGAGTGGGAGATTTTGGCCTGGCTAGGTTGCATGAACAAGGCACAAACTGAAAAAAACCACACAAGTAGCAGGAACTGTGGATTATTGAGCTCCAGAGCTTACCAGACTTGAAGGCAACTCCAGTAGCAGAAACTGTCGCCTTGTTTTCGCCTTTGGGTGTGTTCATGTTGGAGGTAGCCTGTGGACGTCGGCCTGTATAGGCTGAAGCAGTTACCGAGGGGGTGATTCTGGTGGACTGGGTTGTAAAGTGCTGACAACAAGACGGTATTTTTAGTGCTGTGGATCCAGGTTGCAGGGCACCTACGACAGGGAGGAAATGGAGTTTGTTCTGAAATTAGGGCCGTGTGTCCACATCCTGAGTCAGCATTAAGTCCTAGTACGAGGAAAGTGATGCAGTACCTGGACGGGGACACGAGATTGCCCGAGATATCACTGGAAAGTGCTGGAGTAAGCAACTTTGGAGCTACAGTGAGAGATCTGACCTTTACTTCGCCGACTTTGGGAGCTACAGTAGGTCTTCTATCAATTCCTTCTGCAGTCAGGATTCAATCATCACAACAGGTCGTTAGTGTACCATGAATTCAGAAGTTGATAGTCTGTGGAGGTCATAGTTCAGTTCTATAATGCTTCTTTTCTGTGGTGAGCTTTTGGGTGTTACTTCAGTAACAAGGAAACAGAGAGAAAGCACTTCTCTGACAAACAGTCATCTGTTCTGTTGACGACATAGAATCAGAAGTTTTTGTTTTACATTCAATACAAAAGCCATATCGAAACAACAACACAAGCCACTGCCTGACTCTTATTTATGGATTGGAGATAGTTTCAGAGGTTTTCACTTCAAGATTTTTGACTCGATTTCTTCCAAGCTCAGGCCTTTGGTCTCTGGGACGACAAATATAGCGAACAAGAGTGCTACAACGGCTATTGCCCCGAAAACAAGGAAAAGATTCTCAGCTCCGAGAAACTCCTGAACATTGAACATAAAAACCTTCATTAGTGACTGATATGTGTAACTCCATCGGCAATTAATAAGGGACTGAAACCTTTATTTATACCTTCAATGGTGAGAATGCAAATGTTACGAGAGCATTTGAGCCGAAGTTTGTCAGAACTGCAAGACTAATTCCCTTTCCTCTGGTGCGAAGAGGGAAAATTTCTGACACCATTAGCCAACTAATGGGCCCAAATGATATCTGCATGTTGTGGAAGAAAGATGCCCTTCAGAGTCAGCATTCAATCCTTACAAGAGTGGATCAGGAAAATGTTGGATCAGACAGGTCGTCCCTAAGCAAGAGCAAACATCATAGAACAGCATCCAATGAAGAGCGTTCTTGCCTGGTAACAACCCACATAGAGAAGCAAAGCTGCAACAGCTACAATGGGGAACGCCCCCAGAAATTTGTAATAAGCAGACAGCAGAAGCAAGGAAACAACCTGGGGAAGCAAAACCAAGATAATAATATCAAAGACTGGGAAGCTGAGTTATCTTTTGGAAAATGAAAGAGCAGCAAGCGAAGAGAAATCAAAAGGGTTAGCATACAATTCCACTAACGCCTCCAATCAGCAAGGGTCTTCGTCCAAGATCATCTACTTTTAGGACGGCGACCGATGTCATCAGAAACTATAAGAAGTATAATCAACAAAGGAGGGAGTTACTTCTCTTATCTACGGTTAAAAAAGGATTCGAAAGAAAGGTATTCTACTAGATACCTTGAATACACCAATGACGACAGAAACTCGTGTTGCATCAGCAGCGGCAGAAAACCCAGCAGTCTTTGAGGTACAACAGAATAGAACAATTTACAGCATTGGTTACGATGAAGTCAAATGATACCTTAACTTCACTGTAAGTATCAGCTCTAACGATTAAATACCTGGAGAATTGAACCTGCGTAATAGAGGACACTTGGTTGCCCAGTTATCTAGCAAAATCGGGGCATAAGTCAAACTCTGCTAAACAAAACAAAATGTTTCTTCTCTGGAAGGGAAGAATGGGATATTTGCAATCTGGATAAAGAGCAAGAGAACTGAAAACCTGCTGAAAAAGCACCAACCCGCCACCAATAATGAAGGCTTTCAAGCTTGATCCTTGAAACACCTCTAGAAAACTTCCCTCAGATTCCTCATCAGCATAGCTCGACTTCAGAGAGCTAAGATTTCTTTCAATTTCCTTTTCGGAAAATTTATCACCTAAAGGGCGGCCCCTGAGTTTGCTAAGTGCTAATATGGCCTTCTCTTTGCACTCCTGTAATGGTGCTTTACCCTGAACTGCCCTCAGAAGCAACCAGCGGGGAGAGGATGGGAGACTCCACATCCCGATTCCCATTAGCAAAGCTACAGGGGCACTTAGGCCAAACATGTAACGCCAACCTCCAACTGCATTGATTTGAAAGCTACCCACAAAATATCCCAGCTGCAAAAGTTTTAACTTATTACATAGCAAACAGGATAAATGAGAGGATGCAGATACATTAATGAAGGAATCTCAACACAAGTACCAAAATCCCCAGAACTATGAAGAGTTCCTTCAGCGAGATCAGAGTTCCACGAATCTGTGATGGACATGTTTCTGCTATATAGAGTGGAGCACCATGCATTGCCTGTAACATGATAGCATTTAGAAGCATCCCTTTCCTCTATATCAACCAACTTTGCAGGAAAAAATGAACATGGTCATAATGCTCACCATGCCAATGCCCAGACCATACAGGAGACGTCCTACTAAAAGAACACCAAGGCCTGGAGCTGAAGCAGTAATGAATCCTCCAAGCAGATATAGCCCTGCTGCTATTATCAATTCCCTCCTCCTTCCTTCACGCATGAATTGATCCATATTAGTAAAGATATTCATAAACAAAAGGCAGTCCAGCCTTGTCATAAACATAAACAAAGAGATTTACCCAGAAAATCTGCAGTCGGATAAACAAGGAGGGAGCCAAGAAGGGCTCCATAAAGAGAACCACTGACCTACATTCAGCATAACCTAGTCCACTGATGCAACAATACGAATCGGTACAAGTTATCCATGAAAAGAGATGATTAATACACATGGATCATACCACAAGGCCAAGCTGCACAGCTGAAAAACTGAACCAAGTTGTCCCACTAAGTTCAGGTGACTGTAAAAAAAGTCAATAAACTAAGCTGTGAGTTCCAATAGACTGCATCTTCAAATGAAATTCGATGAAGTGTTCAGACTATGGGAAGATCAGAGCAGTTACCTGCAATGATATAGTAGCACCAGAAGTAGCACCAATGTCATATCCAAATAGCAAACCTCCCAAGGCTGGGAAAACAAACCTGGCATTCCAGACAAGCTGATACATTATCTTTCCCCATAAATAGAACTCTAGAACCGTAATCGTAAGCTATAAACGGCTTATTATGTCCTACACTCCAATTCAAAGTAAAAAATCCATTTTGAGATTGTGTAGTATGAGGTTATCAACCAGCAGTTGAACATTGTAGCAAAAACCGCTTCAGGAAACTAGCAATTCAAAGTCGCCAATAACCCCAGATAGGCATGTTCAGTAATAACAAGCATAACGATATCCCCTATACATTCAAAAGCAAGCAAACAAAAGGGGACAACTCACGGCAAGATTACAGAAGTCCATGAAAAAGACTCTTCAGAAGTCGCCTGATCCACAAGCGAATCTGTATCCTCTCCAGCAGCAGAACACTCGACCTGCCCACAAATAACCAAAATCAAAACAGAAGGAAATCGGAAAGCAGCCTGAAAAATCAGTTCCATTCAGACAACGACCTCACAAAATTTATCCAATTGCAGCGAATCCCTTACATTGAACCTCAGCTTGTGATCTCCAGAGGCGAGGAGCGAGTGCTGATGGTGCGACATGGGAAGCTTTCGCTTCGGCTTGAAATGTAAGCAAGTAAAGGAAATTGGGTTTTGGTTGTTGCCATTATTGGGTTTGGAAGATGAGCAGCAAAATAAAGAAGAGCGGGTGAGTCTACTAGTTGTGGCACTGGGTAGTTTCAATGGCGGGAGATTGGAGCAACAGGAGGAGAGTAAGGAACGGTTAGCCATGGGGTTGACGAACACCAGATTTTATTGGCTCTGAGCGATCGTCAGCCAGTGACCAACACAGACTGATATGGATTGATTCTCTTTCCTTTCTCATATTTTCCCGGGAATGAACGGCTTTCCTGGATTTTCTCTAAAAATAAGGGTGACTGATAAGTGTCACTTAAGTTTGGATCAGTACCGAAATAGCTATGTAATTTTAACAAATGACAAAATGGAAACTTAAGTTTTGTTTTATAACAAAATGAGACTTCATCTTTTTCAATTCATTTATTCTTTCGAAACCCACGGTCAATTTAATGCATCCACAACAAATTTTAACGAAAAAAATGTCCGATGCACAAAATCAACTCGTAATTTGATCTCTCACATAAAAAGGGAGGAGATAGGGTGCTAATACTCTTAAGTGTTAGCACCATATTAACACTTTCATTAAAGGTGCTATAGTAATTCTGAATTGCTATTCATCGTCCTAAAATTCTAATTTTATAGCACTAAATAGACATATTTACCCCTCAACAAAATCTTTATTATCCCTAAAAAACAATTACCGAGAAAAAAAAAGCTTCTTTCTTCCTCAACTTTACCTTCATCTCTCACCCACCTCAAAGAAAAAGCTTCTTTTTCCTTTCCATAGATCTGCAACTCCTACTGCCATCGAAAGAGGAGAGTCAAATCCACTTCCACCGTTGCTTTCAACCCCATCTCCCCGTCCACCGTCGCCCCTCACACACCTCCGTTCATCATCTTCTTCCTCGTCTCCACATGAGCGATTCGCACCGCCGGCAAAGAGACCCAGCGATCCGTCATCTCGACTTCCACCGTTGCTTTCAACCCCATCCACCGTCGCCCCTCACGCACCTCCGTTCGTCATCTTCTTCCTCGTCTCCACATGAGCGATTCGCACCGCCGACGAAGAGACCCGGCGATCCGTCATCTCCTCTCCGCGTTGGTGGTCGTTGACGTCCCTGAGCTCTGCCAGCATCGCGCGGATCTTAGAGCTCCTTATCCAAAATCGGTAACCGACCCGGAGGAGATCCTCAAGGTCTCGATCCAAGTCTCCCTGAAGAGGTTCGCGGATCTGGCTTCCCTGTTCGGGAATTTGTCAAGTGGCGAGTGGGGATCGAAAGTCGCGGTGATGACTGCATGGATCAGTTAGGGGAGGGGATCAGTAACCTGAACCAGTCACTGGCGGCTATGGAGGTTGGCGCTAGTACGGAGGGGAAGATGTTGACGCCGGCGAACGACATGAAGATGTGGATAAGTGTCGCGATGACCGACGAGGAGACTTGTGGGGACTGGTTGGAGGAAATGGGGGCGAAGGTTCTGAAAGGGGTGAAGGCGGAGATGGAGATGAAGGATTGCAAGCAGTTGTTGACTAACAGCTTGGCGATCTTGCCAATATGCAAGCCTACTCCGCCATTTCCATCGTCAAATGCATTGACGAAAATGCATTAAGGGGGTTGTTTGTGCTCTGATACTTTGGAACCCAACTCCTCACTAGCCTTATCTCTGCTCTACATTTCCAAGGCGTCTGACCTGCACACACGCACACGGAGGAGGGCGCCTGGGCCCGTTAGTCCACCGACGATCAAGTCAGTTTGGGTTTTAGAGAGAGAAGTGGTAAGCTCTAGTGTTTAGTGAGAGAGTCCAACCTGTGTAAATGCTACCTACTGCTCCTATTTATACTCATCAAACCCGAGGTCGGGTTCCTCCACGTCAGCATTGCATTTAATGCCTTGTACATTCATTTTTGTCAAGTGCCCCAACCGCCTTGTCAGCCCTCTGACAACTGACATGCGTCTGGGGCTGGGGGGGACCGTTGACAGCCTGGGGTCTTTTGTATCTTGTCTCTATGTGACCCTCATCCTATTTGGACTGGGCCTAGCAGGCCCATTCGTGGGCTTCTCCCTCTGGATAACCACCTGTCTTCATTGGGCTTCGTCATGCCCTTGGGCTCTATTCTTTACAATATCACCCAACAATTGCCCCCCAGTTAGGCTCTCCAAGTCTCCAAAACTTGAGGGCCTAACTATACTGCCTCGTCTTACAACTGGAATAAGGCGCCCGCATTTGCCGAGTCCGTGTATTTATCCATCAACGATCTTACTATGCAGGCGCCTGATCATCATCCCCAAATTGTCCTCTACTACCTTTGATTTTCTTGTCACGGGCGCTTGGTTAGTGCGTTCCATCTGGCCATTGTTATTTTTCTCTTGCTAAATGCCCCCTTTCTTCCTACAGCCCCCCTGGGCGCCTAATTAGCGCGTTTCATCTGACAATTGCCTCCCCCTTGTTACCCTAGGCGCCCGGCCTGCACGCTCCTTTCTGACAACGATTGATTTTTTTACCCTTGTGCCAAATGCCCCCCTTTCCCTCTTGTAGGCGCCTCGGTTTAGGGTAGCGTGTTAACTTTCAACGACTGTCGACTTTATTCTCCTGATACAGGCGCATGGCCAGCACGTGCCCCCCTCTCGGGCGATTTATTTTAATAATAATATGTATTATTTTATTGGGAAATTCAAATTTTGAATTTTTAAACTCAAAATAACCACCCGAGATCGCGACACGTGGCTGGCTGGCGCAGATCCCAAATCGTTTTCCCCCTCCCCTCCTATAAATACTTCTGCCTCCCTCATTTTGTCCTCACCACTTTACAACACGCCCTCTCTATCTCTAACTTCTCTCTAGCCGTCGTCGTGCCTGTCGTCTGCAACTCGCTCCCGTTCACCCCTTACTTACCATTAGGGATGGCAATTTCGACCTGACCCGTTTTACCCGACCTGTTTGACCTGTTTTGGGGCGGGGCGGGCATGGGTAGTTTCATCGACCCGACCTGCTCTGACCCGCCCCATTCTCGACCCGTTCTTGTCTAAATTAGATGAAATCTTAGTCAAATTACTTTGAATTTTCCTTTTATTGCATCATATTTTAGCTATAATAAAGTTGTAAATTAGTGAAAACCTCAATTTCTCCAATAATTTAACTACAATTGTCATAATATTGTTTGTTTTCTTAGTTTTATAATAAAAATAACGAATATTTCTAATATTTTTCATATAAATTGCATACCCATTGGGTCGACCTGCCCCGACCCTCGACCCGTGATCAATTACCCGACCTGGACCCGCCCTGCCACGGGGCGGGTCTGGGTACCAAGAAACCCGCCCCGGACCTTCCCCATTGCCATTCCTACTTACCATGTCTGCCTCGCAAAACCAACCTAGTGGCTCAAGCGCCGCTCCTGATCAAGGCGCCCCGTCGAACCGTGGTAAGCACCCCATACTTCCCTGATTTTATCTCTTTGTTTTGCTTGCTGAGTTGTATCTTTGGGACATGGGCGCCGCTCACATCGTACTGCGGTTGTGCGCCCACATCACTTTTTGCTTTTAGAGGGGGCGCCTCCATCTACTGGGACCTCGACAGCGTCTGTACCGGGCTTCACGCCAGGGGACGGCTCTTACAAAGTCACTACTTCGGAAAAAACTTTTCCCCCGGATTACGTGCCAGTTGAGACCTCCGCGTTGCCGTTCAACGTGGTAGGTCCAGCCCACCAATCGATCATGACGTCTGCACGCGTAAGGGAGTTGGTTACAAGTCTGCAACTGCCACGCGATTGGTGGTATGTGCATGCTCCCCCAATTTCCAGGGTTGGGGTGTGCGGTCCGAAGTGGATTGGGGTCTACAAGAAATACTTTAGCTTTGGGCTACGCTTCACAATCGACCCCATTTTGGAGGGGGATCTTGGCAGTCTGTGGTTGCAGTTTGGGGCGCCTATCACCATCCATTATTTTCGTGGTGATTCTGTTCAAACTGAAGTGTCGAGTGCACAACGTGAGGCTGACGTTTAATTTGTTCAGATACTTCTTCAACATTGTGTCCCTCGACAATTGTTTGTGCCTGCAAAAGCGCATGAAGCTTTCCTACCACTTCGTGGTTAGGTATCCCAAGCTAGGGAGGGGTTGGTTCAACGGTTTCTTTTCATGAAAGCCTATCGAGATTCATTCTTCGAGAGTAGGGGCGCCTTCTTAACTGAATGGGAGCTCGGAGACGAGACAAACTTTAACGTTGAGATTCCCCTGTCTCAGGACGAGACGCGAGGCGCCCAACTTATAGGAACTAACCCTATTAACTTGCGATTGACTGCAAATCGCATCCCCGTTTTGATAGAGTATTACAACGCCGGTGTGGGGGGCGCCTTCACTGCTTTGCTTGTGTTGTTTCATTATCCAAGCATGCTTCTGACTTTTTTTTTTGCAGGGTCTGACTTTACCAGCATCACGACCCTGATGAAGAGCCAATTGGCGATGTTAAATGCGGAGGCGCCCGCTTCTACAGCTGCCTAGGCGCCCCCTCCACCTGCTCCCAAGAAGAGGAAGTCAACAAAGAAGGCCACTGGTGGAGCTTGTCAGAGTAAGACGCCCCACACCGCGAAGACCGCGAGCGTGGCCGAGCCTGTCGAAGACCCGAATACATTCGACGTGGCTGATGAAGAAGAGGAAGAAGAGACTCCCCCCTTGATGCGCCGGGAGAAGAGGGCAGGCGCCCCGCTGTCTCAAGGTGGGAAAAAAGGCTCGCCCTTCGAAGATTGAGTAGGGAAAATCTCACGTTGTTCCTCAGGGTGGGCGCCCCGGCGCCCAAGTGGGGTTGGACGAGGATGGGCACCTCGTGGGGCCTGACGGGTGCCCTCCTATTTTCCATCCCCTTCGTACTGAGATGGGGCGCATCGCCCTGCCTTGCTCTCCCCGCGCCGCTGTCGATCGATGCTGCGTGATGGGCTTGGCCATTTCCGCCGCCAAGATGTTGATTAGGATTGTCTGGACTCCCTTCTCTCAGCCTACATCTTTAATTAGACTTGGTGTAGTTGGGTTAAGGAGTGTGTTCGAACAGTCTGTTTCTCTATCCTCCTTAATGGTGGCCCAACATGATTCTTCTTGCCTTCTAGGGGAATTTGACAGGGTGACCCTCTCTCCCCCTTCCTATTCATTCTTATGTCTAATGCCTTACCCTTTTTGTTGGATAGAGGTATTTCCCAGGGGAGGATCCATGGTCTTAGGTTGAAACAACATTGCCCTTTGTTGACTCATTGCCTCTTTGTGGATGATACTGTCATCTTTGGACGTGCATCAATGGAGGAAGTCGAGGCCATTATGCAGATCATAAATAGTTGTAGCTTTCTCACTAGTCAGGAAGTGAATATGGTCAATACTTCTCTATTCTTAAGCAAAAACACTCCAGCTGATCTGAGAAGCCGAATCACTTCACGGTTTGGCTTTCCAATGAGTATTCTTCATGACAAATATATGGGGATCCCACGGAATGGAGGCTATCAAAGAAGGAGACTTTTAGCTTCTTGATCGATTGAATGGAGAAGAAAGGATTGTCATGGAAAAGCCTTACTCTCTCCCATGCAGGGTAGGAGACTCTCTTCATAGCGGTTATTCAAGCAATTCCTTATTTTATCATGAGTGTCTTCCTGCTCCCGGCCTCTTTGACCAAGAAGATGGACTCTCTTCTCCCAGATTTCTTCTGGTCGGGATCAATGAAGCGACGGCCAATTCCATGGCGAAAAGGGAAAGTGATCGATGACCCTAAATGTGTTGGTGGGCTTGGTTTCCGAAATTTTTATTTCTGTAACATTTCTCTTATTGCCAAACAGAACTGGCGTCTTTTGAATGAACCTTAATCCTTGTGGGCCCTCCTCCTGTGGAGCCTTTATTTCCCTAATTTTGATTATCGATCTGCAAGAAAGGGAAGGTCATCCTCTTGGATTTGGGCAAGCTTGTTTGAAGCAAGGAAGGCCTTGGACTTAGGGACAATTCTTATCATCGACACGGGTGCTGACACTTGGTTTTATAAGGATCCTTGGATTCCGACCGTGGGGGCCATAGGATTTCCTCTCCTGATGTTCCTCACTCCAGGGTCAAGGATTGGATGGAGGAAGATTCCCAAAATTGAAACTAAAGCCTGATTCATAACCATTGCTTTGTAACAGACTCGGAGCTATATCCAGAGTTCAAATTGGTTCGCCGAACTCCAAGGATAAGTGGGCTTGGAAGTGTACTACGAATGGAGGCTTCTCTATGAGATCTGCTTATCATGGAGTGAGAAACCATGCTCGACAAAACTCTCACCAGCCCACCCAAGACCTCAATTTCCCTTCTTCTAATGACTCTTGGAAGTGGCTTTGGACTCTCGAGCTTCTCTTTATTCTCGTAACCCTATGAACCAGCCTAGGGACATTCCTTCACAATCTCATCCACCGCGGAGAGATTCTTCAAAAAGGATCTACTGTGACGGGTCATTTGATAGTGATTCGCAAGAGGCGGCTTTTGGGAGAGTTATTACTAATTCTCATGGACAGATTTGTGATGGAAGGGATGGCAAGGTCATTTGTTCGTCTCCGAATGAGGTTGAGGCACATGCTCTTGTGGAAGCTTGCTGACTAGTAGCTATGGACAACTCTCCTACTGAAATCATCACGGATTGCAAATCTTTGGTGGATGCCTTGAACGTTGACAATTCCTTGTGGCCTTGGCGTTGTTTTGCTCGTCTCTCACATGTGAAGGCCTTACTACAACATTGCAACTGGATTCGTATCTCTTTCACCAACCCAAGGTTCAATAAGTGTGCGGATTGGGTTGCTCGTAATGCTCATTGTCTTTCCCTTCCACCGGACTGGATTTACGTTTTATCCATTGTTGCTCCCTTGCTGTGTGACCTCTACCTTTTTCGGATATGAATGAATGAAATCTTTATTAAAAAAAGAGCTCGTGATTAAGGAGCAACTATCATAATTTGACATCGATTGTGAGTAGGGCTGTAACTATGGCCCTCACTACCCGTCGGCCCGGCCCGACCCGGCCCAACCCTGTGGGTCGGGTAGGGTCAATTAGTCTTTAGGTTCAAAATAGGGCTGGGTCACATTCTGACCCTAGAGGGTAGGGTATTTTTGGGTTTTACCCTTAAAACCCTTTCAGGCCCATTTTGGCCCATTTTAACCCTAAGTCCCTAATTACCCTAACCCATTTCGGCCATAATTAATTACCCAGCAGCGGGTTGTGATCGGGGACGATGGCCAGAGGGTTCGTCTCCACCACGTCATCGTCGTCCTCCCCTATCCTCGCCAAGTAGTTGTTGTTGACGTTATTCCCCCGCCGGCGCCACCTTCCGGTGGTGGCACCGTGTTCTGATCCGGCAACAGCGGAACTGGCGAGGATGAGAGCATTGAATTCTCTGCTCATGGTGGTGAAGTTCTCGCTTCCGAACTCACCGCTGCTGAGCGACGATGAGCTTTGGCTGCCGGTCTCCCAGCAGGTTCTCCCCGGCGGCGGAGCGGGACGCGAAATGAACCTTCTGGTCGTTGTTGAGGGACCAGTGAAATTCGTATCCTAGCCTAGCCCTTTCGTATCCCAAGCCAATTGATCTGGAACTTAAACTAGCCAAAACCCCCCATTTTCACTTTCTGTTTGCAACTCTATACACAGGGAACAACACCAATCATTTTCCAGGAACCAATTGAAGGTCCAGAATATAGTGGATCCAGTAATGCCCCACGATTGCATTGCAATCATTTTCCATTAACCAATTGATATTATGAGAAATGTATTTGATGAATTGTGAAATTGTGTACTTTTTTACGTAATTTGTATTTTTTATATTTGATTTGGATTTATCATAAGGTAATTTAGACTTTTTAGATGTAATTTGTATTTTTTTATTTGATTTGGATTTATCGTAAGGTGATTTAGACTTTTTAGATGTAATTTTAATTTTATGGAATTAATTTTGAGTCGAATTAAACTTAAATTTTATGAAATTAGTTGAAATGTTTGTAATTGAACTTTTATTTTGTGAATTAGGTTAAATATTTTTTATCTAAATTCTATTTTTTTATGAACTCATTTAAATTTTCTAGTATATACTTGCAGTTTTTTGAAATTTAGTTTGATATTAAATAATTAAGTGGGCTAATATTATATAAAAAGAAGTTGGGCCGACCCTATTGCCCGACCCGAACCAACCCAGCCCGACCTAACAGGGTCATACAGGGCCAAATGAGAATTGGGTCGGGCCGGGTCGGGCCGAATATTTGAACATACAGGACTGGGTTTTTTTGGTAGTGACAGGGTCAGGGCTGGGTTTGACCCAGTTTCACCCCTAATTGTGAGATCTACTACAAGGTATGGAGACAGAGAAGGTACGGTTTCCTGATAGTTTCCTAAATAATAATTGATCCATTATCCACTCACCCACTAACTAATAGTGACCAACTCTCCTGTTAAAAAAAAAAAAAAAAGAAACTAATAGTGACCAAGTCTATAAAAAGTAAAACAGAGCAGCTTTCGATTCGATATCACGGGGACGTTACGCGGGTAACGTTTTACCTGTGCTTTCAATCTCAGCAAAAAAAAAGAAGGCAATGATGCTATTCATTCATTCATGGTTCATATTGTGCGTAACCGATTCCCCCCTTGTTTCCCGGCCGGCTAGACAAAGTCCTTCTTTCCCACATGAATTTCACCTTTTCTTATCTTTCTTTTTCCAGCTCTCCTTGTTAAATCTCCTTCAATTTCGCTTCCTCCGATGCCATCCCATGTCTGTTTCTGCCGCACTTCCATTGTTTTCCCCACAAGAACACAACCACGTTCATTCATTCATTCATTATATACCCATCTCCATCCTCTGCTATTTATTTCCCTCTGCACAGAATCCATCTAGCCAAAGGTTTCTTTCTTGTCACGTCGGAGATAAGAAGAAGGAAATTAAGAAGACGATGATGGGGGACGACATATTCCAGGCGCAAGCCCGATCGGGAGCAGGGACGAATTTCAATAATAACGGGAAAGCCATGAAAGTGGGGAAGCCACCCACGAGGCTGCAGAACAAAGCCCCTAAAGCTCTGAATCTGGATCAGGTTCCGGTGGCCGCCGGAATCACCTCCGGGACGGGAAGCAGCGCACCCATTCCCCTCCTGTCACCCTTGATTCTGTCTCCGGCAGCCGCGGAACCAGCTTCCGTACACGACCACTTCATGTTTCCTGCGGTGTCTGGGGCGACCACCGACGGCGGCAACGGAGGAGAAGTTACCGATGACCGGTCGTCGGCGGAGAGTGGTTACACAGAGCCCTCATCACTGTACATGTCTTTCCAGAACCAATGCGTACTCATCAACCGAGCACAGTGATCAGGAGATGGGATTTCGCTGTTGATTAAATAAAAACCACATTGATCAGATCATCTCATCATATGCAGAGAAAGAGAGAGATTAGCTTTTCATCTACTTTTATCTCTTGATGTCCATTTACAACGTGCAGATAGATCATAGATGTTCCCATTTCGATTATTACTTCCAGTATAGAGAGCAGACCCCAACTCGGAGGTCGCCCGTCGGTTTCAGTTACTTTCTGTTCTGTGTATGGAAACGTGAATTCTTTTTTTTTTTTTTTTTTTTGCATATAATGTCATGTTCCTCTGTTTTCCCCCCACGTCGTCTCTGTTTTGTCTCCGAAGCTTAAATAAGCGCAGCCACAAGCCAAAACGGAAAACCCATGAATGGGAACCAACCAATGTTTGCTATCCTCCTGATCACAACCCAAGAAGAGGATCTCACAAGCGTCTAACGCAATTGAATCAAGTGCGGACAATTCACAACTGTTGGATAGTCATTTATTTACGTTGGTTTAGAGTCACCACAATGACAGCCGCTACATAAGTTTCCACATCCGACTTTTCACAAATGCACCAAAACTCGATCCAGGTTACAGCGTAGAACCACAGCGGTTGAGCCGTGTGCTTTCAGAAAAGGCTATCTAAATATCGCGAGAGAACACTAAAAATATCGGCTAATAACCCCATCCTCTAACACAGTCGATCGCAAGAATGTTAGCAAGTGGTAGAACAACGTCTAATAACCCCCTCCTCGCTACAAGTCCCGACTTCGCCACAAACACAATTGAGAGTTGAGCAACAGGAAATTTGACATGAATGGCTACAAGCAAAAATGTAGTAGTACTTCATACTTCATACACTTCAAAGCAGTTCTGGAAATAGAGGGTATCATCAAATCAAAAGCATCATCTCTCTCTCAACTAAGCTTTTATCACGAGTTCATTCACTTAATAATATGATTAGTGCGGAATTACAGAAAACACCACCAGCCACCACCCCCCTTCCATTTCAATTGACTGTGCCGTTGGACACCATACTCTCACCGGCTCAGAAGTCGAATTCCCCAGTTGCCTGCACAACCAAAGAAGCAAAAGCACCATTCGATAAAAAGACCAAAGGCTGAGAGCAAAGCTCAGAGCGACGGATCATCATGTTAAGCAAGTTAATCCGAATCCCACCTTGTTGAAGAGAATGTCCTTGTTGTTTATATGCATAATCCCATCCTTAAGTGTGCACTTCCACCTGCTCTTGGTACGGGTCACCTATTACGCCCACACACCCCAAAAAAAAACATGCATTCACTGAGACGACGCTGTGATATTGGTGTTACTTTCTTGCAGAATCACAGAACACGACCAAGAAGCACAATTTCAAAATGAAGGCAGGCTGATTTGTGCTGTTTTTACCTTGTCAAACTGAGCCAGAACCAAATGTTGCGTGTTCAGTTCCTCTCCTTGATCCACGTCATCCAAGTCATCAGGGTCATCATCATCCTCATTCAACGGCTCATCCTCATCGTCATCTTGAACATCATTCTGCTGAACTAAGGCAGGAGTACTGGCCTGCAATTCTGAACAAGAGAAACAAACCAAGTATAAGAAATGTTGACTGAAGCAAAATAGTGAACCTGATTTATCTGTTTGACACGGACAAATCTTAACCATTATTTCGTTAACTAACCATTGGGAGCTGGAGTGTTTGCAATGTTGTAATCTTCGTTAACTCCTTGATAGTTGTATATCTTCAAGGACAAAATGACAGAGTCAGAATTGTAGTAACCACCTGGTTTTAGAGTGCATGGAATTTTGGCCAAAGTAAACAAAAGAACATTGATGGTCATGTATTTCATGTCATTGTCCCTACTACTGTACATCATGATAACGTACATTCTACTCAAATTAACCAAGGCCACATGAAAAACAGGTTCTGTTCATCAGCATCTAACAAAAAAGGACATAGTAATGGTTGAAGATGCAGCAAAGATACAGGTTTCCACAGACCGTTCATCGTCTCTACAGTTCCTCAAATATATCAATTTACATAGTTAAATGGTTGTTTGGCCGTGCTATATTAAAAATTGAGTTCAGGTTTTATTTAGTTTGTTAGCAAGGTCTCTATACCTCAGGCCAGCATGCTTGTTTCAAGGTTGTTCTTCCCAGTGAAGACTTGACTAGTGCAGATACACTCCTTAGGTCTTTTGGCCCATGATTTTTCTTTAATAAGATTATTATATTGTTAAGTACTAAGAATAAAGGGATGGGTGGAGGGGATGCTTGGGAAGAAAAAACTCCAGAATCAGGCTCAAGTAGAGCATGAGTATGCAGACAATTTGCATAGTTGTTCTCCAAGAAAGCTAAAGATGCTTACATTTGGAGTGGACAGAACGTCATCATAAGGTTCTGGAATGGGACCATCCGATTGAGGGATCTTAAAGAAACTTGCAGGCAACTGATTCCCGTACCCTCCCTGAAATCAAATCATTCAAAGATCAAAATATAAGGAATTTGGACATCGATAATTTCATACCAACATCAGATGCTTAGTATGGCCATGTGTCCGAAACTGGACAGTGTCATATGGTAATTACTTGCACTGACTTAAACCAGCCTTCCGGTCAAACAGAGATAGGATTCATCCAATATCGCCTCATACATAATCCAACATGCATTTGAGGGTCCACTGCTTGAAACTAGACAGAAAGACATCATAGGACTCAGACCTAACACCAACAGGAATAAATCTGCCTTATATAGATGCAAACCTACCTGGAAGTAGACAACAACTCTCAACAATGGACAGAAATATCCAAAATTCAGGACTAGCACCAACAAGCATACACTCCAATATCAGGCAACTTTCCTTATCAACATGATACAAAGCAAGAGCGAATAACCAAAGCAATCAAGATTCTACGTTGCCAAACAAACATACTTATCAATTCTAAGATGATGGCTTTCGGAGATGGTGGGTATTAGTAATTTCAGCCTAGAATAACTATCACAGAAACCAAAGCTGAAACTTGAAGCAGCATTACAAGCTGTATGAACAGGTGAGCTTAGCTACCTTAGTGACTACAGGAAAAGTTCCAGATTTCAATTATCATACCTACCTCATCCTGGCATAATAAACCATTACTTAGGTAACAGGTGCGAGATAATTTCTCAGTTCTCATTGAATTATACAAAACACATTCCTAAGGCTCAAGAAACACAATGACACTTCATACTTATGTCTGTAGAAGTTTTCAGGAAGATATACATAACATAACATTTGAATCCACTCAACCTGTGGCTCAGATGGTGAATCTCCAGCGCCATCTTGCTGCGGTATGTATCCGCCATTATTATATGGTGGTGGAAAATCATCACGCTTCCGCTTTCCAGAAGACATCGTGAAGAAGTCCTGGAACCAGTTCCAGCATTAGAACTGATAACCAACCTCATTTCTAACAGCAATTTCTCATTCCAGATGATGGAAGAATAAGTGGAACATCCTCCAAATTTAGAAGAATATCCTTCAGTTGTTAGAACTCCTTGCTCGTCACTTTTCTTCATGCCATACACTAAAAATCAGTGGACGCGGAGGAAAAGCAAGCAATCAGAGTTACCTGTGTCAGGGGCTGATTAGAGGCTGCTCTTTCAGCTTCCTCCCGCCCTTCCTCATAAGCTACAATTTAAATTGCATGGGGTAAGGAAAACTTGAGCGCCAAAGTGGTGAAATAGGTGAATATTGCCAATAAACTTACCAACATTAACATCAAGTGCGGGCCTTTGCTGCATCCAAGGTGAAGGAGGTTGCTATTCAAGACAGGAAACGAAGGTAGGAATTAGAAGTAGGTCATATAGCTTGACGAACAAAGTAGTAGAAAATGCACTTTCCCACCGCAAAGGAAGAAGATCTTAGTGCAAGCAACAGCATAGTAAGATCAAAAAGATCGGAAACCCAGTCATAAATGTATCACCCAGCAACAATATTCAATTATTACCATGTATGGGCTAGGTCGCCCCGTTTTAGCATCTCCGTTGCCATTACTACCACCAGCATCACTTATAGGAGTAGGATATTCACTACTATTTCCCGTGGGAATGTTATACATGGAGGAGTTGTCAGCTGTTCCAGGCAAAGGTGTCTGCACGTTTCCTGGCAAAGGTGTTTGTGCAGGTAGTGGTGTCTGCATTGGTGTCTGCAACGGTGTCTACAATCAAGCAGAGCAATTGACACAGAATCCATCAGACAAGCAATAAACTCAACAGCTCGACAATTTCAAGCGGCTTCATCATCTAAACAGAAAGCCTCAAGAAATTACTCACAGGAGTGAATAGCATATCAGCTGTGGGCGTCTCATACTCCTCGGTGCCTTCATACGGTACATTAAGATCATGCACTGGAGTAGGGCCACCAGGAGCCTGCTTCTGGCCTGAAGAGCGATCAATTGGCCCCACAATCACGCCCGCTTGCATCATCTTCATCTCCCAAATCTGAAGAGAAAATCCAAATCAGATCACAATAGGCAAAATTGAACAAACACCAATTGTCGAAACCCCAGAAATTGAGTTGAGATCCAACGAAAACAACGACGCGATTCACAACCGTCCCAGCGCACGATTTAACAAAAACCCTAGCGCAGAAGCAATATTATGATTTCAAGGAAATAAAGAAATCGACGAAGGGACGGCAGCTAATAGAAGCGATGGAGCAAAGAGGGAAGCGAGTATTATTACTCCTTGGAGTTCATTAAGAACAGCTTCGCCAGGACCACCGTTGTCGACGAACTCCTCGCGGACCTTGGTGATAACGTCTTCGATTACATGGATGTAGACACTGCTAGTGGTGGTGGATGCGGCCATCGTCCCCGACACTCTCTTTCCCTACCTCCTGATTTTGAACGGAAACACGATTTGGCTTCGTCTCCTCCTTCCTTTATTCTTCCTCGGAAAGTAGGAGTGCGCACGAAGAAGGAAATCAAACCACCGGAGAACGGAATTCAAGCGGCGGAAGGCGAAGTAATCATTCCCCGATCAGGGGAACTGCAGCCGGAGTGGAGCTGGGGACGGCCGCCGGGGGTTTGGGCGTGTGCAGTCGGAGAGACGGAGATTGGGAGCGAAAACGGCGATGAAGGGGATCGGAGAAGATGGGAAGAGAGCCGGACGAGAAAAAGAGAATAAAGAGTGGAATATAAATAGGTTTGCATCCGATTATAGAGAGTGGGTCCACGTGTCAAGATCTGCAGGGCGTGGTTCGGAAAATTGTCCGCCTTCTATTAGGATGAGATAAAAATAAAAATAAAAAATATATGAGGCCGTCCTTCCCCGTCGCCCCTAGCCGCCACCGGCCGACGCCTGTTTTCCGTGTGGCGGGCCCACTCCTCTTCTCGCCACCGTCGCTGACCGCCATTCTCTTCATTGGCCGGCTTGTATGTCGCATTGTCATCGCAGCCGTCTATTCTGCGCCGATCTCATAGGATCACAACCGATCATCAGATTACCTTTTGCAACCATCACTATGGTAGCATTTTCATTTTATGGGTTATTTGCTTATTGAATTTGGGTGATGAATTTAGCATTTAAATCACAATCTTAATAGATTTAACTAACATTAATATTTGTTGTTGTAAAACAATGGAAATCAAATTTGTGGACTTACAAATTTGGATAAATTTTTTTATTCAAATTCATGGACCCACATATCTGTAAATCACATGGTTCTTAAGTAAGAAATCGAACTTAATTGAAAATACGCGTTTTGGGGTGAAATGGAGGACTTTTTGCGAGAACTCTAAAGTTAAATGTACTCGCTATGGAGCACTGCAAGGATGACTGACCTTATGGAAAGTTACCTTGATATGCACCCCAAGGCAAAATCCGTGAGGGTAAAGGCACAAAGCGGACAATACCTTGACAGAAAAAAGGTTCGAAATGTTACAGTTTGCAACTTGATTTTGTTTGTCATCATACCTGTAAGATGTCTCAATATTATCCATGAATGATGTATGTGGTAATGTTTCCATCACCAAGGATGGACTCATCAACTTAACTATATTGTGGATTCAACATATATTACGTGCATGCAATCTAATGGAGCATCAAGTCTACCATTCTTTTTGTCAACAATAGTCACGACTTCTTTGCATCGAATCTCCACATAGCTAAATGCCTTTTTGATCTCCCTCTTTGCCTTCACGATTTCTCCATATACAAAACCCATAAATGGTTGGACATCGCCATCAACCAAATGAAGAACTTTTACCAATGGCTCAAAAAATTTCAAGCAAAGGTTTACACATTTCCCAAATTTGTTATTCAACATCGTTGATATTGTATCCTTGCCCTTCTTTATGTGCACATCTTTTAAGCTATCTCATTTCCTATCCACCATCATCTTCTTGATTGGATCCTTTTTAAGTTTTATCCATCAAAATTTGCATGGTGACTTGAGACATTGAGAAGCAAATCAGGCTACTCTTGGCCTTATGATTTCTCTCTTCTTGGAGAAGAACCTCATACATTCTAATGTATGATGGTGCCCATAAATGAAGACAGTGAAACTCTTGCTCAATTACCTTCTTTAAATTTGGCAAGTTGCAAATTCAGTGGACACAACAAGAAAACTCATCTATTGCAACTAAAATAATGCAACAAATACATCATATGTCTCTAAAAATATCGAATACTTGACAATTTTATAATATATCTCTAAAAGTGTTAATATCCGCCTCTAGGAGTGTCATATACTTGAGAGATATGTTATGTGTCTCTATAGCTATTATTCTAAGAGTCACCAATATTATTTAGTTTTTAATATTTTATTTTAGTTAAGCTATATGGTTAGTTTTCAGAGACAAATTTATAATGGTGGCATTGGGGATATGCTTAACAATCGGTATAGGCTTATGCAATCTCTATTTTGACCGAATAATAATGAGAAATAATAAAAGGAAATTAAAAATTTTACATATGAGATCCAATCCATTTCAAAACTCTAACAGCAGTCTCTAAATTTCATTTGAGCCCCCGCCGACTCCATCTCCTCTTGTCTTTCTCTATCTTGGTCCAGTTTCTCTCTACCATATCTTCTGTTTCTTGGATCTGCATAAGAAGAAACATCTAAACTCAGTTCCCGAGCCGAGTCGGTATATGACGATTAGGAGCCAAACTACAGCTGCTACGATTTCTGAGCTCGATCTGGAACATGGCCGGGTTTGCATCACTGGTAGTCTCTAGATCTGATGTAGCAGTTCCCCATTCAAATAAGAAAATTTCATATATGTGTGGCCTCATCTTCATCTCCAACAGACTCCATATATAAATTGCTCCTCAGTTGTTGAAGATTATGATTCATTTGGAACCAGGTAATTGTATCTATTTTAATTTCAAATGGGAGTGCTTGCTCTAAATCCTTTTGTTGCATATCCTTTTGTTGATCTCTTTTTTTGTCGCGCAATACACCTCCTAATGATAATGGTGATTGAATTTGGGGCTTTGTTTAATTTTGGTTCGTTCTACAGGTGAAGCTGCTCATATGGAACTAATTGCATCTCTAATCATTGCCCTACTTGTATAGCTGCACTCAGAGAAACACAGAATAATATGGTAATTCCTCTACTTATGAGAGTTGTACCTTTACATGCGTGATTCGGGCCCAAATGTTCACATTTTACCTCTCATTCCTTATTCGTTTAGCTTAGTATTTCATCGTTCCTCAACATATTTCACGCTAGGTGGTGCTTGTTTTGATACATTTCAAGTCCTAGCACGTGTGGAAGGGTCGAGGACAAATTTTGGAAAAATTGGAAGTCAAAAAGCGCAAAAACCGAAAAAATCTGTAGTCAACCGTGACAATTGCCTCGTAATAGTGAAGTGAAGGTGTCACAAGAAACAGCCGCAGTTCACGGGCGTACAAGGAAGTTCACGGTCTCCTAAGACCGTGAACTTGTACCACAGACCGTGAACATCGAGCAGTCCAGCGAGGTTCGAGAAGTTACTGAAGACAAGGAAGTTCACGGTCTCTAAGACCATGAACCGTGGCCATTGACCGTGAACCCAGGATAGTGAAGCGGTGCGTTTTGGACGACGATGACTTCACGGACGTGTTTAGGTGTTCACGTCCATGAACTGGCCAACGCGTCAGTGAGCTGGTCTCTTTCGAGCAAATATGAAGACAGAAGCAGGGAGAGAGAAAGGAGAGCTGGTTTTTGGGAGAAGAATTGGTTTCTTTCTCTAGGGTTTCAACCTAAACACCAAAGGGGAGTTCTAGTGAGAGAGATAGAGAGAGTGCTAGAGTGATCTTGGAGCATCATTGGAGGCTTGGGTGGAAGATTCAAGCCTAGAAGAAGAAGAAGAATATCTTGAGCTCAAATTTGTAATCCCTCTCTCTCTAGAAACTCACTCTTTTCTCTTGGGTGTTGTAGATCCCTAACTACTACTTTGTAATAAATTGTTTGGATTGAATGATTAAGTGTGGGTTTGCATTAATTTGATTATTAGAGGTGTTTTCATCATGATTGTGCATGCTTGTGATTAGCAACCTAGGGGTTGTTCATGTTTTGTGCTTAGCACCCTTAGGTTTGTGCATGTAGGTGCTAGCAATCTAATTAGCCACCTTAGCCTAGCTTAAAGAGGAAAATCCCCCTTCCAAGGGAGACTCAATCGAGTTGGTTTTCCTTCCGCTTTCTAAGGCACCTAAACTAAGTTAAATTAGGGCAACCCTCAATATTAAGTTAAGCAAATCGATTAATCGTGATTAAGCTGTCCGACCTTAGAGTTGAGTGAGAGAGTAAGTCAATTATCGATTGTCTAAACCGAGAGGGTCGAGTGACACGACCTTTTATCCTTACCTCGGTTTAACAATTGAGATTGTGGTCTCCGACCACATATGCATCCCTCTGCGGTTCGCGATTATCGTGCCCATCTAGGTTGGTTGATATTAAGCCGCTCAAACTCCGGTTTGAGGGAGAGACCTAGGAAACCACTAGTGAATGAGTGAGAGGATCGATCCCGTGACAAATCGACCTCAAGTGAATCCATCCTGTGACAAATGGATCACTAGTTGCTCCTCCTAGTGGTTCCCTTAGATCTGGTGAGTGGATCGATCCCATGACAAATCGATCGCTAGTGAATTGATGTCATGACAGATTGATCACTAGTTGCTCATCCCCGAGGTTCAAAACCACCTACGCCTCACGACTTCATTCAATCCAACGAGTCATGGTAGCTAGTTAGGGTGAAGCTCCCTTAGTTAGACTTTTCCTTTATTTTACTTTTCCTTGATAGTTTAGTTTGTAGTTCCATTAGTTATAAACTCAAACGTTGCTTGCTAGATAACAACCTAAGCGATTGAAATAGGGGTACATGGATCGGCCCGGGTTGACAATTTAAATACTTGCTCTATACTGCACCCGGCTAGAGTTTAAAAACTTGGGATCTAGTCGGGATTAATTTGTGGTGTAGTTTCGTGCGAGTCAATGCGTATTTTTGGGGCATTGTGATTCAGTTTCATAAGGTATTCTTCAATTTGTTGTTTATAAATATCAAAAGCCAAAATACACATACCTTGTACTTGCAGGAGTTTACCGTATAATGGATATGGTGAAAGATTACACAATGAGCATCAAGTTTTCAAGGCTACTCGAGTTCATGATGGGGAGTCAATTGTGCAGCATGTACTTATGAGCAACAACGACAACTCCTAATGGTGATATTGACTAGGGAAAGGAACTCGAAGGTGCAGTCACGGCTAAGGGGATACGTTTATAATGTTATTATGTTGTTCAAATTCATAGGTTTATTGGTTATCATTGAACCATAGTTTTCAATTTTTATCCATTTAGAACCTTTCCGATGTAAGCACTATGATTGATAGGCTTCAATAAAAGGAAAAAAATGGTGGATTTCATAGCTTTATTTTCTTTGTGCTAATAGTAATGAAATTGAAAAAATATATGCATGGTTACGTTTTCAAATTTCAATTACAATTGAATTAACAATAAGTGGTAGGCAATTATGCTTAAGAATATTCAACGAAAAAAAATTATGCTTTAGAATTTTTTTATACAAATATAATAGTCTCGAATGACTATATTAAGAACAAATGAAATTATCTCTAAAAGTCAAATTGGTGACAAATATTTATGTCCCGAACAACCAATATATAAACAAAA